AACCTTGGCTTTCAAGCAGTGGTTGCTGATGTACAAGATATTAAGTATGAGTTGAACTTTTTTTTTTTCCTATGATTATCCTTCATTCACAGATAAAGTGTTTGGAAAGGGCTTTTTTCTTTTCAAACTCATGGACTTCCAGCTGCTGCTACTCTTTGACTGCAGTGCTACCTTTGTCACTTCATTTTCTTCTAGAAATAGCAAACAGTGCACTGGTGCACTGTGAGTCCTGTCTAACTTGTCATTACAACAATCAGAAGAAACTCACCAAAGACATCAGGTGGGAAGGATGGCACATGAATAAATAATTTATAGCTTGTGATTCATTCCCTATTTTTAGCAGCTTGCTGTTTTTCCAAGACTTCAAAAAAGGCCTAAGAATAGTGTACTCATAAAGTGACATATCCTTTAAGGAGCATATCCTTTATGCAGTTTCCTGTGTTTCATTTGATCTGAGTCCTCCAATTTTGTTGGATTTACATGGATCATAGTGGGTAAGCATCTAAGAGAAAATATTTTGCTTGCTACAAAGGGAAATGTTTTATTTTGAATTTCATTTTTAGATAAATAAAAATGATCTGGAATTGGAACGTTGGATCACAAGTGACACTGAATTTTTTCATCAAATCATGAGTGTTTATTATAATATTGTTCAGTAAAAAAATAATTTAGTTAGTGCAGAGTTAGTGCAAGAGACGCTGAGAGAAGTTTGCAATAAATGTTCTAAGCATGTTCCAAGCAAGAGTCCAACTGATGGGCTGCAATGTTCAAAGCTGGCTTTTCTCTTCTGTGTTTTTTGACTCTTTGCAAAATGTTGAAAATCTGCAAAGCCTCCAGTTTATTCATGTCTTTTTTTGGTTGAAGCTTGGATAGAATTTATAAGATTCAACAAGTGTTTCTGCTTGCTCTAAAGCTGTGATTCAAAAATCATCTGTTCAAAGGGAAAAAAATGTCACCCAGCTCCATGTCACCTAACTCCAGTTCTAGCACTAAGAGAAAACAGGGCTTATCCACCTTTTCTTCTGATTTTACAGGTCAATATTTCACAGAAGGGCCTCTTTTAATGTTACATATGAAAGGAAGTTTCTCTCTTAGTTATGCTTGTTTTCCACTAGCAAACTTAAATTACCTGCATGCACTTTGTACAGTGAAGATTCCCCATTCCAGCTGTGTTCCCCAGTCCCATTCCTGCCAACGTCTTATTATAGTCACATTCAGATTTTCTTGCTTACTCCGTTTTTGTGACATGGTAAGTTTTTCCTAGCGGAAAAAAAAATCAATTCATCATCTTAGAGTCCAAAAGAGTTGTAAATGTTGATGCTTTCACTATTATTTCCTGTGTATGCAAGTGAGCGGAGATTTCAAAACTAGTTTTAGATGAAATCTTGGCTGGAACCAAGCACTGGCATCCTGCTATGAAATCAGCAGCCACAGCAATTCACTGGCTGAGAGGCTGCAATTGCTGTGTTTGGCTCTGGGAATATTGCCATTGCTGTCATTGGCTTCACTGATAGAATATCACCATGATCAGCATGACTGAATGAGCCCTTAAGAGAATATAAAAATGCATAGGATGTACTGGCTGGCCTGGGGGGAATTAAGACCATTTTCTTCTAGCTAACAACCTGATTCACAGTCTGAGCACTCCTGGATATTTCTGTGTGTTCAGGGACACCCCTCTTACTTCTTTGTCTGACTGCTGGGTAGATAATGAAGAAGAATAATCTTTAAAAAAAAAATCAGCATTTTGAAGATCAACGAAGAAGCAACAAATTGAAGCATAGAAATGAATATTTGATGGCGTGTCAAAAATAAGTGCATAATGGTTGTGTTGCGTGTGTCACCATGAATCATCTACTGCTCCTTATTTGCTTGCAGGAAGATTAAGTCTGTTTGTGCAGTTGTATTATGTGCAAATGCATACAGAGCACAACTAATCACGAGTTATAACCACAACAAATGTCTTAATTTAGCGTATCTGTTCTTTACAATAAAATCAGTAAGGAATGAGAAGTGATAAGAAACCAAAATATTCTGAGCTCTTCAATATGTCACTTGTTCAAGGAAATGAAAATTAGCAGAATGTTTCACTAGAAAGAAAAGAAACTGTGTCCCCCTAGAAAGATCTTTTATGTGCTGTTTCTTCCCAGGCACTCATTGTATGTTTCTGCAATGGATTTCTCCCTCATCTCTCCCTTTTTCTCCTTTTTCATGTGAATCTTTAAGAACGAATAAGCTTAACCCAGTCTTTCTCTGTATACAATGCTTTAAAGCAAAAGGCAAGAATTTGCATGGCACAAAGTACATCAATCCCAGTTCACATTGTAAAAACAGGTGGGAAAGGATATTTTTCAGCATGCTCAATCACCAAAGAAATTACAGAAGTCTCTATCTAGGTAAGATCACGAACTATTAGTTTCCCTCTTCTCTATCTGAGGCTAGTGGACATAAGTTCTCCATTGCAGTCTTTGGTAGAACCTCTGACTGACATCCCTTCGGTGCCACGCTTTGCTTGGGTCATTGCTGTGACTCTGCATGTCCCAGAGATGCAGTCATCTCTGTTCTTTCATCACCTTCTACATGGCACTTTTGATGCTAAACAAGGATGCTATGAAGTAGCTGTTTGCGACTGTAGAAAGGATTAATAAGATTGCTCATTAAAAGTTACCATTATTTTATGCAGACTCTTCTGACCAGAAATACACAAGCACGTGCAGGAAAATCAGCATGCCCAGATATGACTGATTGACAGTGAGTGTGAGTGCCTCCTACCAGTGCATATGCAACTGGTCTAACATCCCCAAGAAATACTGGGCTCACTGACTGTATGCTGTGGATTTATACACAAAGAAAAGCCTCACAGTGCATGTGATCAAGCTCTTACTCTCTGATAAATACCTCACTCATTAAAACATATTTCTCCTTTGAAAGACTAATGAATTGCATTTTGTTATTAAAGCTTATATATGAAAATACATTAAGTATGATTAGAAAATTGTTTTCATTAGAATTAATGTTGTAATGCAAATGCATTATGTGGAAGAAAGAAAGAAGACCTCTGCTCTGTGATATAAATTACTTATGAATACAGAGTTTGGAATGAGCCATTCCCAGAAGTCAGATATACTTGCTGGGTTTGTTTCCAAGAAGCAGTTGATAATGAAGAGGGTACAGGACCAGAGAAATCTGGTGTTTGATTTTATCATTCTATTGTTCATTTTTAAAGAGATCTTATCTGGCAACACAGTAACTTATTTGGTGTGAGTTTTGTATCATACAGGTTATTTGGCTCTGCTTTAGAAGAGAGCCTGTAAGTACATTTTTGTTTCCTAATATTCTGCATGAAGGAGTTACACATCAATATGAAGGTAGAAATGAGTGGTCCTTATTATACTCAACCTTCTCTCCAGATCTATTTCTTAATACTTCTTTTGTACTATATGAGATTCAGTGTTCAAAGATGGGGCTAGTAGCCATTTTGCTCTCACTGGCATTTATGTATGGACCTTTTTCTTCAGTAGGATCCATGCAATGCAAGACTGCAGAATTGCAAATGATCCATTTCAGAAACAATTCCAAGATTTCATTGGGCCATCAATGGAACCTTGTTTTGCAGCTTTGCCATTGTCCTGCCATTACACTTTTAGGAAGTCATCTCCAGACTTTTGCTTCTCTTTCCAGATCTGTAAAATTAAAATAATAATGAAAAAATGGAGGAAGAAGCTAGTGAGAAGGGGTGAAGCAATCCTCATATTTGCTTTCATTTTCAACCAAGAAAAGTCTTTGAAGGCAGCTTTGAAGTCTTCTTTTCCTAGTTTTGGCACACACACCCCTTTCACCGAGGTCAAGCCATTTCTCTCTGTTGTCAAATTCTGATCTGGAGAAATCTCTCCATAGCAATGCAGATATTACCAGTGAAATTAAAGATAGGATTCATTCACTAATCAAGTACATTTTTTCCATGTGGGCAAGCTGTCTGGAATCTGTTACAGTCAGTAGATTCTATGATTCTATGATTCTATGATTCACTAATCAAGGACATTTTTTCCATGTGTGCAAGCTGTCTGAAATCTGTTACAGTCAGTATAGATCTGGTTAATACAGTCAATAAAGCTTAGACAGCAATTCCACTAGTCAAACATGGGGTAGAAAACACTTCGAAACAGGTGGCTTTTACCATTTCATAGATTGTAGTGCAGCTAAAACACCTGCACAATGTTAGTAGATATCACCCAAATCTTCCAGGAAAGCTATGACTTTCTGGAACTCAGGTAGATACCTCATCTACCTGAAGTTATCTAACATAACTTTAGTTGTTCATACATAAGCATCTAGTGCCATCTGAGCTATCCTAAGGTATCCTACTAACCTGTAGTTACTTCTACTAGCCTGTAGTTGCTGCACGGATCTGCTCTAGCTTGTGTGGCGTGTCCTAGTCCTGGAAAATGTCTCAAGTACCCAAAACATCTCAGATGGCCCTTGGTATGTGTGGAAACTGCATAGACTCCTTTGTGTGCACCAGAAGGGAATGCTAAAAGAGGTTACTCGAGAGCCAAGAGCAGAGTCCTGAAACATCATTACAGGGTCAGAATGATGGCCATTGCTATTTCATTTGGCTCTGCTGCTTGAGAGGAAGCTGTGAAAAGGTACAAACAGAGCATTGCAGGATGAAATTGAATGGGATGTTTGGATATAATGCAACCTGGATCACCCAGGTCAACTGTTCCTTGTTGCTTTCTGTGTGGACTTTCTTCTCTTTAAAAAGGGTACATTTTTAAAAGGCTCAGTAACTCTTTCAATTAATTGTACTCAACAACACTTTTGTAACCATTCAGTCTGATGTTATTTAATGTCTGATGTCTGGGTGTTGAACTAGCACTGAAAGACCATGGTGAAGGCTCAATGAGAAACTGAATAAAAGACATCAAAAAGAGTTGATTATGCAGTTGTTTATATGTATCCTTTGAGGATCTTTTTGAATATCTTTTTATTATTATTAGCATTTTAAAAATATTAAGTCTTTTATTTTGGTCCCTATCAGGAAATGCCTACAGAGAATGCCTGGGCAATGGGACATGGGCTTCCAAGATAAACTACTCTCAGTGCGAACCTATTCTGGATGACAAGGTCTGTATGTTTCCTTTTGTTCTTCTCTTCTCAAAGTCATTTTTCAGCATATATGGATGCAAAGCTAAGCTTAAGGTTAACACACTAATTTGGGACTCTGAGCTGTGTTTCATTTTTGTTTCTGCAGCAAATCCTCCCTGTAAGTTCAGTCAAACTTTTATGCCTTCTTCATACACCTTCTTCACATGTTTTCTAGAAAAGAAAGAATGCTTTATTGCAGTGCCCCTAATGATGTATGTTTATGCAGAGCCTTCTTAGTTTTGTGTTGAGCCTATAGCTGCTACAGTAAATGTTAGTAATAATACCAATGAGACCAAAAGCTTCCTTGGGACAGACATAAAATCTCTCACCTGCTGATTCCACGTTGCACCTACTAATTCTAACTGTCTTATCAACAGTTGACCTTTCCAGACATCAATATAATTTTCCCTTCAGCAAATACCTAAAGGGGCAACAGCAGAAAATTACATAAAAAGGAGTGTGGGTCCCATCTGTTTTTTAAAGATTGAGCCAGCCCTACATTGTATGGGAGTTTATAGAATTAAATTAGCATATAGGGCTAAGCTCCTTCAGAAAGGCTGGAAATGAAGTCCTTTTCTTCTCAAATTGCTCACCTTTTCTTGGATGTGTCATAGACATTCACCCTTACTCAGCTTCCAGACTGTTTTGGCCATGTTTCTGACCTCTTTACCTTTCCCCTATTTTGAGAGCCATGGTGGGACATAAAAAGCATATAGGCTTTGTGCTGTCCCTCTGCCAGGAATGACTTTCCTTCTGAGAATGAGGGTAATGCCCAGCAGTTCGGGCCTATTTCTGTTTTAGTTTGGGTTTGTTTTCCCACTCTTTCTGATTTTGGAGTTGTACCAGATCCATTGCAAACTGAGAGGAGAAAGAAAAAACCCAGCCTACTTACAGTTCCTTGCAGAGTTAATGAGAATTTAGGTCTCAGGAACTATAGGACTGCACACAGAAATGGCATGATGTGTTTTGGCTGTGGCTCAGCATCCATCCCATAGCATCCATCTTGCTGCTGAATGTGGGCTTTGACAAATGAATGAGAGGAAACAGATCACACCAGCTGCTAAGGGGTGCCCACTCTTACCCACTGGCTAGGCCATTGGGTGGTAGCTGCCCCCTCAATTGCTAGAGGCTTCTAGAAAATACGAAATGCATCACTATATGACTGCAGCCCAAAGGGACTCATTCACATACACATTCAAAGTATTCCAGTGTAATAGGGTGGCTCTCATGGCAGTTTTACCTGATCTAAGGTGGGACTACCCCAGCCCCTCCTTACATTTTCTTCTCACTGAAAATTAAAAACTTAAATTTGTTTTGGTAAGTCAAATTTCAGTTGAATTAGTTCATTAAATTGTCTTATTGCAGGAGGGCTAGGGCCAGCAGAAGCAAGGGGAGTGAAAGTGTGACCATGATTGAAGGGGGACATCAGATTATGGTAGCTCCAAGTGAGATGGGTTTGCACTTCTGTGAAACCATCCTCTTAACGATGAGCAAGAGAGGATGTGGGTAGCAGCTGGGTATGGGATGCCAAAAATTCAAAAGCTTTGATTTGGGTTAGGCTGGTATGGGAAACTTGACATAGTAGAGTCCCATGAGTTCCAGAAAATGCTGCTGTATTTCAATGGCCCTCATTATCGTTCGTCTTCATGACTCGCACAGACAAATGCAGACAAATTTTATTTTAAGGAGTTTGGAGAAGTGTTGTGACTAGAGGACGGGATTATTTCCTTTGCTCTGTTTTTGCCTTTTAAAAACTTTGTGGCTATGATAATAGCTTAAAACTTCTTAAACAGAATGTTCCTTAAAGAGGGAAGTACAGATGTTCCTCCCTTCCCCCACTGCCTCCCCCACAACCATCCTTATTTGCAAAAGCTTAAAAATTCATTTGGTAGCTCTTTAAGATTTGTGTCAAGCTTTACCAATATTAACATTCGTCAATAGTTTTGAAATCTCTACATAATGCTCTGTGTTACAGATGACTACTCACATCACTCTATGATCTTAAAAAAAAAAATCCCTCATTCCCCCCATGGATTTCCATAATCCTCCATTTTGATTAAAGGTGAGATGCAAGCATGCAGAAGGGTGTATTTTTATTTATTGATAGATCCCAGCAGATGCCATGCACCAGCTCCACTTTCTGTGTTTTTGTTTGTTTATAATGCAGACAACAACACAATTTTCACACTTAGCTACCTAACAGACGGAGTGCTAAGGACGTACACGGTTTAACTTCAAATGCAATGATAGATACATGATCACGGGAACGGGAGTTTTCAAGGTCAACCCAGTGGCAATTGCTACATTCATTATGAGATAACATTGGTAACATAGCAAGGGAAATTGCAAATTTTATAAGCTCTCTGAGGACAGAAGCTCCTGGAGCATGCACTCACTAGTGGATTATGTTCATATATGGGTCCTTGGTGGTCATGAGCTGTGGCTACAGGATAATACTTGATAAAAACATGCTCTGTGGCGGCTACGCTCCTAGATAGACTTGGTGAGATTTTCTTGCCCTACAAGCAGCAATGTGCTACATGGCTCAGTGTGTCCCCATGGGTCTAGCAGATGTGATGCAAGGCATCTAGAACTGTGTCATTCTTTAGCAGCAGTTCAACATCAGGCACCATAGGAACCACAGAGCTTCCTGAGTGTGCCTCAAGGGGCATGCCCGTGTGTGCACAGCTATTTCCAGCCCTTGGTTTGGATGTTTGGTCGATACTCAAATGTAGTGTCTTACTCTTGTACGAAATGCCACCCTCCACATGGTAGTTTAGCTCCTGCTCTAGGCACAGGAATTAGTCACAAAAATCTGTATACTGGGTGGCAGTATGTAATAACTGAAAAGCTTCCACTCAGACTGTTAAGTGAGAGAGCTTCACTGCATTTGGCAAAAATCTGTGCTCTGGTTAGAAGACAAATGTGTCTCAGGCAGCAAAGAATATATCTCAGCCTCTATAAAGAGCTATAAATTAGAAACTTAGCCTCTGTGGCCTGTGGCAGCTGGATGTGAGTTTGGCTCTGCTACTGTTTTGAGATGGCTTGGAGCTATGTAACCATGTTAGCTCCTTTCTGGGCCTGAACTAATATATCCTGCTCAGCAATATAGTCATATTAGCCACAGTTACATAGGTTTTAGCTGACTCGGAGTGGGAAAGCAGTGAACTTCGAGGAAACTGAGAGAGCTCCCAATTGCAAACAAAAGCACAAGGAAATACTGCCTCTTCCCTCCTCTTGGAGGCAGTGGAAGTCTGCTTTGACCTTCCATCAGCTTGTATGGTGCTCGAGGGAGGTAAGATTCACCTTGACTGATGTTTAATTGCCTAAAAGGTACATATAGTCCAAACTATGTGTAGTCCAGTTTTATTTTACCGTCAAGAGAAGGAGACAGAGCCCTCTTCAAGTAGTGATTTATCACTATCCTGAGTGTTTTGTAAGAAGTGGACTGTCCTTGCATGGTGCTTGTCTTCTTTCCCTGACTGCCAAGGAGACACAGTCAGTCAACTTTACCCAGTCACTGAAATTTTAGGGAGTTTTTTAGGTGAGATGGTGTGATTTTGGATATCAGGAAAGAGAGAAGGAAGAAGGAGAGTTCTCTAGAAAAGAGAACTAGCACAAGCCAAAGAAGGGTAGCTTTTATTGGGTCAGACCTTGGTTAAAGATGCTTCTCAGCAGCTCACAGTACTCTTTGGAGAGGAGATATGGTGTCTTTAAGCTGGACTGGTGATGAGGAACAAGAAGAAATCTAACTTGGGGACAAAATGGGAATAGAGTGCAGAGCCTAGAGAGCTTGTGCTATAAACCCAGGCAGGACTTGTTAGAGGGAGAACAATCATTGGCATCTTGAGATGAACAGTCATTACCTGCTTTGGTTTGGACAGATTAGGAGTCACATCCTACCTAAAACAAAGGAAAAAAATCCTATGGAAACAATGGCTTCTGCAGTAGCCTGAAGTCTGACAGTAAGGAACCCAGTGCTCCTCAATGTACAAAGCTGGTACAGATAGAGAAGAGGCTCCTCTTCCTCCACTAACCTAGTAGAAGGTGGTTGGAAGATAACACTGCTCTGTCTGATACAATCTGACTGCCATGGATAATATATGGCATGGAAAAAGGCTCTGGTGATGGTGCTTGCTCTGGTCTGGAAAGCACCTGACCGTCTCCTCCTCTAGCTCCTTTCTAATGTAAAGACCTTCCTCCGCATCCATGAACAGGACCTGAATTTGCACTGTAGTAGAGTGAAACATCTTACCAAGACGAGAGGAGTACTAAGTAGCAGTAGAAGGTTGCTAGCTCTTAAATGCATCTGCCTTCAAGAAGTGAGACTGCACTGCATCTGCATCTTGCATTTTGCATCTTTGATGGCTTTGTTATCTTTAAACAATGATGTTTCACAGTAGAATTTTGAAAAAAAAAAAGTGTCAAATTCTAAGGAAACTGCAGGGGAAAAAACTCAGAAAAAAAAAAAGAACAGAGTTATACAAGTATTTCACATGAACCGAGCTTTGATCAACACATGGCTGATTTTGGGCACATGCTTTTTCAGCCTTGGAGGTGTTGTATCCACTTGCATGCATATCAATGCATGAATATCAACTTGAATGCATATCAGCTAGTGGGAAGTGATCTTCCCACCCTGTCAACTCGTTTTTTTATAGGCACTGAGTCAGGACTTGTTTGTATGATGTTTGAATTTGTCTTCAGGAAATATTGTTAGTGTCAGGAACAGAAAAAAAAATGGTTGTGCTTATTCATCCTTCAGCTCCAGTGCTTCAAAAAGAAGCTTTATTTTATTTTTACAATTAATTTTCTTCTCTGCTAAACTACAACCTCTTAAAACTTGAGGGAAATTGAAATAGTAGTTAGGAGTCAAAGGAGAAGACTGAAGACCAATCAAATTCAAAGATCAGGTTTCTTGTCTGGGAGAAACACTGTCATCTTCTTTTTAGAAGATTTCTAGCACCACACCAACACTCAAGTGGAAAGAGAGATGAACAAGCCCACTGGATGCTGTCTGAGTTGCATGCCATTGCATTAGAGGTAGGAACTTCAGTCCAAGCTATAGGAGCGTGCATTCCTCCCTTTTTAGCGACTTTGTGACCTTAGAATAAGTAAAGTTCAGTATCTTTTTGGTTCTTCTCAGGGCTGTTAAGAAATGGGCCTCTACAGAGGGAAGTTTATTTTCATGAATTTTATCATAGACGTAAGAATACCTTATATGCTTGAGTTCTGTCCAGAAATAGCACGTTGCTCCATGGGCTGGAGATATAGGCAGGGTTCCTAATGAAAATGATTCCAAAAGAGCTCATTCACTCTCTAGCGAAGTGCTGGATACTACTTTCATTTAACAGTGGAGCAGATGTTAATTACAGCTGCTAGTTGTAGTTTAATGTAAATATTTATTCACTGACAAATTTCTTTGGCTGGAATAAAACTTTAAGGAAAATTTTTACAAAAAAAAGAAGCAAAGGATGTTCAACCCAAATTAGAAGTGATGACATTTGCATGATTTTGGTTTTCTATTTTGGTCATGAGGGAGGAGATTTAAGTAGTTATTTTTAAACAGTCTTTCTTATTTTTTACTGTTATTATATTTACTTTCTCTTTATATCTTTTCTGAGGGGGAGAACATCCCAAAGTGGGGGAAAGATCTTCTTAGCCTGAAAGAAGAAAAAATACCAAACTCAATAAAGAATCTGTTTCCAGGAAGCTTTGTTCTTAAGTAGAAAACCTTTGCATTTTTTTTTACCAGTTTCAGCATTTATTTTTTCTACTTTTTCCATCAGGCAATGAAAGGAGTTGCTTTTATTTTTCCGTAGCCAGCAGCAGCCCATAACAACATCTTTCATTTACTTTTGCAAAATAAGACAATTAGGCTGAGGTCTTATAAACTCAGGTCAAATTTTGACCTTATGACTAATTCATTGGTTTAGGTGGGAGCACTTTTGTACTTCATTCTTTGTTTACAGGATCAAGGACCTACTTACAATCCATTCAGCATCCTAGGAAATAGACACCAGTATAAATTTCCTGGCATACTTGGATCACTGTTTAAAACAACAGATCTCCAGTCTTTGGGGCTACCTTAAAATGGAAGGATTCTATTAGATTCTAGGTCTTTCACCCTACATTGATTCTGCCCTTAATTGAAAAGATAAGGATCTTGGTTTGAAAGGAAAGTAGCTCAGAGAAAATACTGCCCCTATAGAAGCGGCCTTTTATTTTTCTAATTGATAATTGATTCACTTTTGTATGAAAACCAAGCTATTTGAATAGGAAAACACACAACCTGGCTTGTTGAGACCATCCAAACTCTTCACAGAGAGATATTTTGCATCTTTGATGGCTTTGTTATCTTTAAACAATGATGTTTCACAGTAGAATTTTGAAAAAAAAAAAGTGTCAAATTCTAAGGAAACTGCAGGGGAAAAAACTCGGAAAAAAAAAAAAGAAAAAAAGGAAAAAAAAAAAAGCTTTATGCAGAGATTTGTAAGAAACTGTGGAGAAGTTCCAAACTTATGCGAAACCAAACATGTCCTTCTGAGAGTGGCCAGCAAGATTGGCCATAAGAATCATAGGCATCGGCCCTTGGGTTATTATATCATTTTAAAGTCAAGAAAAGTAATTACTGTTTCCTAAACTGATTAACTGTTCCTTAATGTCAGTGCTCAGAGAGTCATGCTGATTTAATCATGTTATCTCTTTACCTCCAGAGGAAGTATGCGCTCCATTACAAGATTGCTCTCATCATAAACTACCTGGGGCACTGTATATCAGTAGGGGCCCTTATAGTTGCCTTTATGCTTTTCTTGTGCTTGAGGTGAGTAATCTGTTTGCATGCTTCTAACTTGGTTGGGTGTGTGACACTTTTTATCGGGTTACTTGAGCCCTCTAACAACACTGTCCACATTGTGCATGGCCTTGAAAAATGATCATGGCATTTATGCTCCCAAGCATGTACATGATTTCATTGATGGATGCAGTGGATGAGCTGTAATGATGGCTTCTGTATTTAGGACCCGGAGCCTATTTGTATTCAGGAAGAAAGCTATTCATGATTTATTGATGCAGTAAAAATCCTGTGAGCACACAGAGTGTTTCATTAAGGGAAGCTGGGATTTGAGCGTGTTGTTTCAACTTGAGTTTCAAGTTTTGGGGGCAAGTTTTCTTTTCTTCTTTTTTTTTTTTTTCTTTCTCTTCATAAGGCTAGGCATGATAACACAAGACATTTTGCATTCCTGGCAGATAAAGGACGGATCTAGGCCCGGTGAGGTGAAATGTATTCCTTCCACTGTGTTTTCACTGAACTCCAAATCTTGTCCCATTGAAGAACTTAAAAGTTTGTTTAAATAAAGACTAAGAGTTTTATCTCCACCAGCGGTCGTGAGATGAGGGATGCAAGTCATTGAATCACAGAATCTCAGAATGACTGAGGTTGGAAGGGACCTCTAGAGCTCATCTAGTCCAATCCCCCTGCTCAAGCAGGGACACCTGGAGCACGTGGCACAGGTGGCATCCAGGCAGAAATTCCATAAAACTCCTCTCTTTCCTGGTTCAGTGGTACAGAGGGGAGTTTGTGTGTCAGGTCACATGGATATCACAATGAAAACAAAGGAACAAAGAAAGGACAAGAGAGAAGGACGCTATGTGAAAGTTAATAGGCATCAGTCACTATCGTAAGCTTTAAAAATATGTATAGAGGCTGGATCATGGGAATATTGTTTAATAGTAATGGTCTGGTCAGAGCATTTCTGTATTATTTGTGCTGTCTTGTCTAGGAACATTCAGTTTGAACTTGGACTCAAATGCACTGTGTGCTCTGGAATAATTATCCTTGAGACAAATGTTGTAATTATAGCAGAGCAGAAAGAGGTTGAAGAGGGCCCATAGGATTGCAACATGATGACAGACAATGGTTTCAGTAAAAGAATTACTAATTTCCTACAATGGAACATCTCTCTGAAGGTTTATGCTAAGTTTTTCTCTTGAGCAGTCCTAATGGGAGGGTTCTTCTTACCAAAAATAAGAGTTTTCTTTCACTCCAGCATCTCTATGCAGGATAATGCAGAATTATTAGTGAATAAGGAGGATAAAAAAAGCTTGGAGGGTTCAGTGGGAGCATTTCAGACCTGTGATTTTATATTCCAGTTTCTACCTTTGTATTGTGCATATAATGCTAATTCCCACAGTGCTTGGAGCCCTGAATTAATTTGCACTGAATAAAGATTACAAATTGCTCATCGTAACTATATTCCCTGCTTTGCTGCTGAATCTTTCATAAATGGTTAAGTAAATAAAGTAGAAACAATTAGATAATGTGGTATAAATGTATCTGTCTTTAAACATCAATATAGCCTATTTAATCTATTTATTTTTTTTTTCTGATATATGGTCTCTGACTTTAAGTTTTAAAAGTTTTGCAGTCAATTTCAGCATTAAAAATGACTGCAGCATTTAGGTAGTCCCCTGCACATGCCCTGAATTAAGGTACTCCATTTTCATATTGTACCATAAAGAACAAATCTAGTGTCCTGATATAACTGTCTAGCCAGCATAAACCAGCATGAGCTACCTTGGTCTCTGCAGAGCATCTTCATTGCATTTATCTCTGCAAAGTGTCTCAAAAGCAAAGGAGTTGTGATCATTTGAGCCCTGTTGTTCGTGTTCTGTTTTACTCCGAGTGGAAGACGATGTCTAGTAATTGCATGAAGCAGGACAATTTAGATAAATCCTGGCTAAAAGAACAATAAAAAAACACAGAAGTAAAAAAAAAAACAAAACAACAAAAAAAAAACAAACACTAAATCACAGAGGTAAAAAACCACTAAATCTGATATTTCTGCATCCACTCTACCCACAGTGGAAATCTCTCAGCTCTTTTTTCCTGCCCCACCTGCCTCACTCTTCATGGTGCCTGCTCAGGGCGAGGATGGAAAGGAGGCCCTAAGGAAGCCTCGCGATATACAATCACTCCCTATTTTTACAGTTGTCATCCATCATTTGCCTCATTTTCCGTTCCTCTGTCAATGCAGTTAGAAGAGGGATAAAGTAGTGAACTGGAGCACATCTGCTGCACTAGAACACAAATCTGAGGAAGTCTGAGAAATCTCTCACACTGGTGGTTTTAAGAGAAAGTGTAATATCTGCCTGGCATGGCAAAGAGAGTGTTGCTTTGCTTATGGGCTAGTGAGAAGGATATTCTGTCCTTGGAGATGAGCCTCACCATTGCTTTTACTGCCCCAGCCCAGGTACCTTTTGCATCAATGGGAAGTTTAAGTTCTCACTCTTGTTGGGCTGAGAATTGGAAGAACTGGATTAATTCCCTATTTTTCCAAATAAGTCCTGTGTCATCTTGTTATCAGTCCCTGTCTCCCTTATGCACCTGTCTGTCCTCTAGTCGAAACTTTCTTTCCACCCTGATAATTTTTCTGCTGTTTTAAACCCTAAGTAACTTCACACTGCAAGATATTTTGAGGGGCAGAAAGCTCCGATGTAGCAGCAAGTAAAGAAATCATCTGCCAACCATATTTCTGTGCTGCCAGCAGATCCAAGCAGACCTTGGGAAGGTAGAAGAACTGAGCCAAGATTTCCCTTCAACTGCTAAGACCCCTTCCATCCTTTTCCAGTTCTGTGGCTTATGATCCAATCTTTCTTCCTTGTCATTTTGAAGAAAAATAAGCAAAATAAGCCATTAAACTTGCATTCAACACCTGAAAAAAAAAAAAAAAAGCAAAGTCCAACTTGATTTTTCTTAGCACACTGGACAGCAATGATTCATTGAGGTAGCTCCTAAGGGGATAAGTCAAGGATAATTCCTCAAATTCTAATGGTAAGTTGTATTAGAAGTGTGAAAGCCTTGCTGTTTTTACAAGGCAAGACACAAGAAACAATAACAACAAAATAAAATGCTAAGAGGGAAAAGTGAGGAATTTTCTGCCTAAACCAGATAGAGGAGCTTTAGAGGAGCATCCATCTCTGCTGCAGCATTGGAAGAGATTCACATGACATTTGTGTAATTTATCTGCACTGCTGTGAAACTCGCAGGCTGTGTGTTCTCCTCATT